CATAAAAGGTCTAGTAAAGCCAAAAATTAATTTCCTATTGATTTTAAAGTGATCTAGCTGAGTTTTTACACTGAAAGCAAAGATTATAGCAAGTGTAGCCCATGGTATTTATTTTCAGTCAAACCAAAGTTACATATAATTCTGCCTCTTCTTATACGGGATATGAACACTAACACACTCCCTTCAAAGACTTGTGCAGGCCAAATTGTTGGAATGCTGATTTTCTTCACAACTCTAAACCCCAAAACTATGATAATACATTATGGTGTAGTTGAAGATAGCATAGTCAGATGTTTGCTTAAAACCTAGAGACTTTACGTGTTGCTTTTCATGTGCTGTGCCAAGTCTTGATAATACTTTTTCCCCCAACCAAGGGACCTCATAACCTGATTATGGTTATTGCTTTACAAACAGTTTTGACAGAAGGTGGCTGCTAGAGCTTAACATATGTCCCGGTTCCATGTGATGGGCCGGTTCTTGCAAACTAAGCTCAATGTTTCCTTTGCTGAAGTCAGCAAATAGAGTTAGAGAGATACCCAGTCATCTATCACACCAAATAAAAGGACATAACGGCTTTCAAAAGGGTTTTCCCACTTACCCAAAAGGCTTTCTGAAAGCTTCTACCTCTGCAAAAAAAGAAAAAAATAGAAAAAAAAGAAAAAAAGGAAAAAAAGGAAAAAAAAGAAAAAAGTTAGAACAATTATGGCAGATTGCATGAAACATGAGAACGTCACAGTAACTGCTACTTTTCATTATGTTTGTCTTTGGGTCATGATCAACGAACGGGAAGTTATTGACATGGTATCAAAAGGGAGACTGGTATTCTGAAGGGTGGTTCTCTGATGTCTAGGATACTGCTGTAAGGCTATCTGAAAGGGCCACGAGTCTTTCGGGTGCATGTTCAAAAAGCTTTGATGGACTGGATGTAACTTGGAGTGTTGTACCATCAGGAGGGTGGCCTAAGACTACAATGCTAAAGTATGCATACCTCAGTTTCAGAACTTTTGAAAGGAAGTCTCAGCCACAGAATGCATATACCTGTAGAGTTTTGCATGGGTTTTATATGAATACAATTTTAAAAAATAGCTGCTTGCACATTATACCAGAAAAACCTCCAAAACTGCAATTGCTTTGAAAATAGACTTTAGGTTTTTTGGAGTTTTCTGAAATGCTTGGTCTGTATTTTGATAATTGTGCATATTATGTAAAAATGTTGGTGGACCCATAAATGACCAGACTTTTTCTAAGAAAAATGTTGCTTTAATGCATTTCATGGATTTTTACTCTTCTATCATTGCTTGCTAGTAATAGCAAACCTGCTTTTCTGCATCTGCTTTGCGTAGCTATTGTAAGGCTTTGAACTAATGTATGTATTTATTGCTTGAACTTCTGTGCATACCTTATAAAGCATAATGTCTGACAATTTAAATGGCTCATGTATTCTTGCTTCTACCATAAACTGATTATGGGGACTATGATCTTTTGTATACAGCAAATTTTAACTGTAGCACAAACATCTGTTTATGTATTGGTGGGATATTACCTGTTTTATTTATCTTCTTTGAGGTAAACTAATTTTTGATACTTTTCATTACTGTGTACTATGTTCATACTTTGAATTCTCTGACGTTAGAAGTCATGGTTGAGAATTGTAACAGCTGTTATTTGTTCTGTATTCATGGCTTTCACTGCTGAATAAAATAAAGGACCAAACCTAGGATTTGAAAGAAAACTGTCTACCTCTAACACCAGGGAGTTATCAGATTCTATTTTACATAGTTTTAGTCTACAAAGACACAACTGCTTATACCTAGTGGGCTTACGGCTTATACTCTATGTGGTTGGATTCATGGCACCGTTGTATTGTTTGAAAATCAATTAAAATTTTATGTGACTGTTAAAGTATTTGGTAGAATTACCACTAACTGGGTTTCCTTTAGATAAGTCAGATAAAGGGAAACGGCATCAACATTCTGTGTCTTCGGTGACTATCTTTATAAGAATGCATTTCTGTATGATTATGAAATTGAGGAGCAGCCAACTAGGAATGGAGTGACAGAAGTACACTTAAAATAAGTGCTTCAGGACATCAATGTCCCTGGGCAAATTCAGTTGCAAAATCCAATAGATTATTTTGTAAAGTTTTCAAATTGGGCGTTTACATTTTTGAGAAATTGAAAGACCTCTCATTACTCATGTCAATATTAACACACACCTGGACAGTAAATTTATTGTCACATTAGCTATTGAAAGTAACATGGCTTTCTCGTTACTTCATTCATTCAGATTGCAGTGAAAGAGACTTTTTTGCTCTCCACCCAAGAACACTTGACAAATCTGACTTAGTGGAAAAGAAGTTTGTACATTTTCCTATAGAATTAATGTGCGAACAGTGTGTCACTACTGCTGGATGTAAAAATGTATATGAAACCATTTCATTCAGTTGGTTACATTTTCTGAAGTATAAATAAAAAATTAATTCTTTTTGACCCATTTATAACCACTAGGATTTTATTCTTCTATTCTTCAATAGAGACAAACCATAAACTTGTGTGCCCATGTCCTGCAATTTGTTTAAAAAAATGAATTACTAAGAACTTGGGGATCTTAAAGCAAATCATACTCAAATTTAGTCAATAAAGCTTTTAGCTGCTTGTCAGATGCATCCCAATAAGAATTATCCTTGGGTTCAAATTTGCTACTTGGTAGCCTTAATTGTATATTTCCCTGTTTTATTCATATAGACCTTGGAATTATAAAAGTCAAACCTTAAAACATGAAGAGATTAGTATCCCTAACTTTATGATGGTTTTTTATGTTTGTTTGATATCCCTCCACACGCATATTGATCATTTTCATGACATACTACCATTATTTGGGGAATGCACAAAAACACTAGATACAAGTTATGGATAGATTTATAGAAGGTTGGGGGTAAATTCTAGACATTTTAAGAGACACAACCCAACAAGAAACGTATGATGTCTTTGTTACTTCCCAGCAACAAAAAGATTTTAGAAGGAAAAATGGAAAATAAAAGTGTTGGGTATATTTTTATTTTATGCATAATTAAAGCTGTCTGTCATCTCAGTGAAAGGGTAAATGATTAAAATGCTGTCCACAGGATACAGAATTGTTTTAAAAGAAATGTGAATGCAAGATACATTTTCTTGAACTTTAAATTCCTTTTTTTCATATTGATTAGTTGGAAGGAAATGAATATTAAGTATCCCTGTCCAGTGTATTTTGTTAACGGACTAACAATAATATAATAAGACTAAAGTACTGGGACCTTGTATAATTTAATACAGGGAAAATAACTTAGAGATTAAAACGAACAGCATAAGAAAGAAGCAAGATTGATTTGGCAAACACTTTGTATTTAGCTCTATATTCAAGATCATGACATCCTTTAGATAAATGCTACAGAGATATATTTTGTGAGGTCAGAAGAAAATCAAATGCTTTTAAAATGTTGGTCACGAGTTACTTTCAAATTTTTAAAAATTAAAAATAATATAGAATATAACTAAACAAACTCCAATTCCAATGCTAAGTCATATGCATTTCCCGGATCAGAAATAATGATGAAGCAGCCATTATTGTGCTATATTAACACTATTGTATGTGTTGTAGAAAAACATATTTAGGCAGATTCTAACACTGGAATGTTAATGAGACAAATCTTCTTCACATTACTATTCAGTTTTTAGACATTAAAGAAAACTCTTTAAAGAGTGTACACAATGACTTCAAAAGAATATATAACCAGAGAAAGTCAAGGATGGCTTCATTGGAGATCTGGCACATTCCTTGCTCTCGTCATCATCAGTCCAGACTAAAATAAAACATGTAGCACTGAAGAGATGGACAAGCAGTGGAAATCAGGACCAGCTTTGGTAGCTTATCTTATGGGAGGTTTACAGCTTATAGGAGACTCTGACATTCTAATTATACATATATATATATATGCCTACACATACACACATAAGAAAACAAAGAAGGATTGTAAGCCAAGATATATATTTTAATTTGAAACTTTGCTGTGAACACCCACTCAAGTTTTTGATATAAGTATTTTCCTTTCCTCTCTTTTTAAAAACTTTATTTTACATGTGTATGTTTGCCTAGATGTCTGTGCACTATCATGTACGTCTCTAATACCCTCAAATATCCTGGGGCTGGAGTCACAGATAATTGTGAGTCACTGTGTGGGTGCTAGGAACAGACCCAGGTCCCCTTAGAGAGTATCCAATGCTCATTAACTATTGAGCCATTTCTGCAGCCCTTATTGTGTTGCTTAAAATTGAAGTGAACCTTATCTCCCAAATTCATGGGTCATTAGTTTCCATTGTTACTATCTTAAAAAATGTAAATTGTGCCGGGCAGTGGTGGCACATGCCTTTAATCCCAGCACTCGGGAGGTAGAGGCAGGCGGATCTCTGTGAGTTGGAGGCCAGGCTGGACCGACAGCCTCCAAAAACAATACAGAGAAACCCTGTCTCGTAAAACCAAAAAGAAAAAAAAAGTAAATTGTTTATACAACACATTAGTCCTCCCTTTGCTTTTGACCTTTTGACATTATAATAAAAAAAGACCATGAAGATTCACAGGCAGAAGTGAAAGTGAACGAAAAGGAAATAAAAAATGTAGGCATGTATTTAAGAAAATGTTTCTTCTAGGAACACAAGGTGATTTTTAACTCTTTAAGTCACTGTTGCAAAGCTAAAGACATCACCATCCCTTTGTACCTGGAGTAACTACATCATTCCCTGTTCAGACATTTGTAAATGTCCCCATGTTAATTATGTAGTTGCTATTCCTTCATGGAAATTGTGCTAAGCAATGTGTATATTTCCATAATAATGCTCAGGGATACTAATAGAGAACAAAGGTTCCTTGCTATTGCTCTCTTCTTTCCTGTGGCATCAGTGGCCACCTAGCATCCTGATGCATCTGACACTAGGAAGAACACCTGATCTGGCCTCCCTACATAACTCTCCTTCAAATATATTCAAGTATTCTGAAAAAGATACAACATCTCAAAAGTACTAGTCCTTTTGATCAAATGTCCTGGAGGGAAAAAATTCTTAGAAATAAATCATATAAAAACATTTCTCATGGTATAAATTTATTGGAACACTATATTCCCATTCTTTCTTAAGCTAAAAATTTAAACTATTCAAAAAATGAAGCCCCATGAAAATTTAAGTGAGCACTGACTTGAGAGTCTTGAAATTCAACTACATAACAACACAAAAATAATTCATTTAGTTTTTTCTACCCAACGACTGTACTTTGGTCCACAAATTCATGAGAAAACAAATTAGCAGAGCCTTTATAAAAAGAAGTGAACTCTGTTTTTAGGAAACACGGAACATACCTTCCTTGTGAGAATTTCAAAACCACACTGAAAATGCCATGCCTTCACTTATATTCCTGGGGTTTTGATAATAGATATTACCTCAAAGTTAACTGAAAAAGTATTAGACAATTAAATAAAATGTTCATGCACATACCTATATACAAAAAGTGAGGAGAGGAAGCCCAAGTATTGATGCAAATCAATGTGTTAGGGTAACTTTGAGGAAATTCCAGTCCTATCAGGTATGGTACATCCTCTTGTTGATTTTTGGAAATACATACTAGATGGGTATCTGAGACCACTGATCTGGGTTTCTAGAGACTTAATTTCCCACCTTAGGTTTCCTGAGTCAGTGACATCCCCTCAAGAAGATTACTTTAGCCCCATGTAACAGTATGCTTACATGTACCAATAAAAAAATAGAGCATTTTAGCAGATGTTCTTGAAGGTCATTTTCAGCTTTGAGATCTTTTGATTCACTCAAATCTAAATTCAATGACTAAATTTAGTAATCATGATCTAAGAAATTGTTTTTCCAAAGGTAAAATAAAGCAAATGTGTGAAGCTTTTGAGTGCTGATCAATACCCAACTTCAATAAATCATGAGTTATTTGTTCTGATTGAGAGAAGCTGGCTTGAAATGAGGGGACTGGAGGATTGAGAAATCTTGGTCTTAAAGCTACTTCACCGCTAATTGGCTACACAGCTAATAGCTGCCTGATCTTTATGTACCTAAATTGCTTTGAGACAGAAAGGTCTTTATCCAGTGGTAAAGAAAATGAGATCCTCTCCCAGTAGATTCTGACTCTGTCTGCAGAAGCCTGGGTTCCCCAGCCATATAGTGTTATAGCTGGAGTTCTTAAAGCAAAAGGTTAGGGGCAGCAACCCCACAAGTGAGACTCGTCCATGTGTCTGAACGTGCCAGCTGAAGCTATAATTAATGGTGAGAAGAAGAAATTTGCTCAATGGGTCTATATCAGGAAAAAGGAATGAATAAAGGGTCCCAGAGACCCAAGTCCACCTCCAGGAAACTACAGGAAGCTACAGGAAGGACCTGAACAAAGATCAAGGAGTGTATATAATTAAGCAATTCTGATCTATGTGGTCTCATCCATCAGTGCCTCAATTCGTGTTCTGCAGTGTGGTCCATCTAATATATTTACTGCCGGAGAGGCTGCATCTAGTTTTCAGGAGATGATTGCTTCTGCTCCATGGTGCATCCTTGCCTACATAGACAATAGGCCCCCTCATCTGGTTGGTTATCAATCTGTCCTGTGGAGCTTTGTTCTTCCCACAATGTAAAGCGATAATAACGACTTAGCTCTGTGCTGTTAGCCAAAGCAAAAGAGACAGATACATAATGTCCTACTTTCAGTTGGGTCCAAGTAAGGAACAAATTGTTTTAACCAACACAACTTTAAAGTGGATCTGTTAAATACATGTATGTGTATACAAATATATTAAAAAATATAAGCTGTTCAGTCTGTATAATGTTACTTTAATATGTTTTCAGAGGTGAACATTTGGTGTTTGATAACCAATTTTAATGGGGGATGTCCTTCTGTATGCTGTGAATTTATGTTTCTTTTTTTGTTGATAAATAAATGCTGATTGGCCAGTAGCCAGGCAGGAAGAGTAGGTGGGGCTACCAGACTAGGAGAATGTTGAGAAGGGGAAGATGGAGAGGAGCTGCCAGAGAGATGCCATGCAGCAACTGAAGGAGTAACATGCCAGAGCATTCCTGGTAAGCCACATCTTTGTGGCAATACACAGTTTAATAGAAATGGGTTAATAATTAAGTGAGAACTAACCTGAGTCATTGGCCTAATAGTTTATAATTAATATAAGCCTCTGTGTGTTTATTTAGGACTAAAAGGCTGTGGGACTGTGTGGAACAGAAACTCCAGCTATACAATTGGTGTGCTCTTTCTGGAGGAAGAACCTAACTTTTCAATATCAAGAGGTCATTAACTTTCTCCACTACTTTAATCCCTTTGTTTTTTCATACTCCATGGTCTCATCTTATTTAACATATGCAACTGCTGTGTTGGATATCAACTGAAAAGAAGGCTTACCAATTGGCTTAGACTTACCAATTGGCTAAGAAGGACATGGATATAAAGAAAAAGTATCCG